ATGGTGCAGTGTTTTGCTTTTACTCTCTGTGCTGAGGCTGAGCTGTCCATGCTCACAGTGATGTCGTATGACCGCTATGTGGCCATCTGCCTTCCACTGCACTATGACATCATCATGGATGTCCACAAGTGTGCTCTCGGGGTTCTAGGTGTCTGGATCAGTGGTGTCATTTCTGGAACTATGCACACAGCGGCCATTTTCTCCATGCACTTCTGTGGCTCCCATGTCATTCACCAGTTCTTCTGTGACATCCCCCAGCTCCTGAAACTCTCTTGTTCAAATGAGTATATCAGCGATATCGGGGTCACTGCCTTTCTATCTTTTATGGCCTTTCTTTGTGTCGTTTTTATTGGACACTCCTATATCCAGATATTCTCTACTGTGCTGAGGATGCCGTCTGCTGAGGGCAGAGCTAAGGCCTTCTCCACTTGCCTTCCCCACCTCGCTGTGGTCATTTTATTCATTTCAACCGGCATCTTTGAGTTTCTCAAGCCCCCTTCTGACTCTCCCAGTGCACTGGACATTTTGCTGACTATTATGTACACAGCTGTGCCCCCAACATTCAATCCAATGATCTACAGCCTGAGAAATCAAGCTATGAAGGCAGCTTTAAGGAAGGTTTTCCAAAGAAGACAAGCCTGAGGCCCATCTGTAGAGTGTAACTTAGACACAAGTTAAATATATACTGGGAAAACTATTGGCTTTAAATAAGTCCAGAGAAGTGAAAATTAGGTGAGTTTATGACAGAATCAGAATCAGACTGAGGTCTCAAGTCTGAGAACAAGCTCCAAGTAATTCTGGAAAATCTGCCTGAACTCTGAATCCTCAAGAAGATTTGATATAATTTATAACGAAACATTTCAAGATATGGACTGGGAACCATCTGGTACATTTATGTAATTTCTTTGATGCATTGAAGAAAACAGGAAAATTCATTAGGGTTTTCCCTGTTTAATGTGTCATTTTCTCTGGCAAGTAGGAGGTTTAGTCCTGCCATCACATAGAGGCTGTTTTTTGTTTGCTTGTTTTTTAAGATGTATTTATTTATACATACAAAACTGGGGTACAGGCCCGAAGTTCAGGGGAGGCAAGAGGGTTCACCAGAGACAGGGGGGAGCAGAACAGACAGATGGACGATGTACACTGCTGGGGGAGCAGCGGGTGGGTCAGGAGAGGTCTCCTGCGCCCTGTGGATCACCTCAGAGGCCAGGGACAGAGCTCACACTGAAGTGGTTGTGGCCAGCCTGCAGTGCTGTGTCCTAATGCGGTGTGCCACCAGGGAGGGCCCAGGGTTTTTTTTTTTTTTATTTATTTTTTTTTCAGAGGTAACAATATCTGAAATGCTTTTTCACAAGAAAACAGGAGACACTTTTCATGGGCACAATTTCACAAGTCCAGCCCAGCTGCATTAACTCTTGACTTGTGCCCTTATGTGGAATAAAGGGGCATGGTACCCCCTAAGGTAAGTTTGATTAACCAAACACAACAACGACAAGCAAAAATAAAGCTAACAGAAAATGAGCACAGAGAAATTTGTCACATATGAGTTTTGTCATGGCTTGTGCACTATTCACAGAATAGCTCTGAAACCATTTCTCCTTTAATGGTTTCATGAAGTAGTGGTAAAAATTCATGAGAGTGGTTGAATCTAAATGATAGAAAAGGGAAGTCTAATATTGACTTATAAAACTTTCCAAACATCATTTGATGTTTTTCCATACTTGGAAAGTATGGACAGGAGAAGATGTTTTGTAAAATAATTTTTCAGTTCTTTTGCCAAGTTTCTACTGATATGATATAAATCTTTAGTTTTGAGGAATAAATTTTGGCTAATATATGTAAATAAATATGCCAGTAAAATAATGATTAAAACTCTAAAATGATAAAAACATATTAATAATTAATAATTTGCCCCCATGAAAAGGGAACAGACTTCTGGTGACAGCTGACAAGGTTGGGGAATCCAATGGACATGGTGATTATGGTTAATAACACCTAACGACATGGATGTAGCATGTAGTTGCTAATAATAAAAATAAATTTTCTCATGGCAAAACGGGTAGAAATTTATATGACATGATCCATGTATTTCTAATAATACAGAGATTGTGATTTTTATAAATTATCTGTGGCAAATCAAAACATTGTTTATCTTAAGTGTGCACAAAGCTTTATGACAATTATGTGTCAATAAATTTGGAATAAGCTCAGGCTCTCGATTTTCCTGTCTACCAGGGACACACTTCAGCTTTGTGTCTGAGATAGTGTGAAGTGAGAAGGATGGAAAGTGGTATTCTATGCAAATGGAATACATAAGGTTTTATGGATGGTGACACTGGCATTAGATAAAGTGAAAAACTTTAAGAAGAGACAGCCTCCCTTTTATATAATGATAAAAATCACTTAAATAATGGTTATGTGAAAAGATAAGCAAAACTGAAAAACACTAATCTAGATTAACAAAAAGTGCTTCCTGAAGAAAAGCAGAAATAGTAGAGGAGACATTATAACTCATGCCAGCAAGAGAAAGGGTCATAACGGATGACTACAAACAGTGATTTGACAACACATTTAAGACCTTTTGGAAATGGACACTTTCAATAACCATACCTATACAAAGTTTAAATGATCAAGTAATAGAATCTGACAAACCAGTTTTGAGTAAGGAGTTTGAACAAACATCAAGAATGATAAAAATCATGGCCCTCTAGGTAGGCAAACAAAGCGTTTGGGAAAATTCAATATCCTTTCATCATGAAATCTCGACCAGTCAAGTGTAGTGGTATGCACTTCAACTTAATAAAGACCACATATGTAGCCATGCTTTATGCAGGGATGCCGCACTGATAGGTTAATTTCCCCTTGATGCATAGTGTGGACAATCATTTCCCAGTTGTGCACAAAGCACAGGTACCTTGAATTTTGTTATTCAGGTGTTTATCATTTTACTGTGGCTTTAGACTCAGAGAATTTTAGAGGTAGAAAAAAATTTAGAGATCATCATGGCCAACATCCTACCCAAATTAAAGATGTGTATCATCAATGTAGACTGTTAAGCATTGTCAGTCTGAATAGTTACATGACCTCAGTGCATCTTCAGAACACTGTATGTACTAGTCAAATGCGAAAACATGCCAAATCTTTGCTATTTTATGTCTTTACTTTTTCTTTTCTTAATATGTGAAAAGACACTCTTATCCTGCTAATATTAACAATTATTCAGATATGTGTTTCCACTTGTATAATTTTCTGTAGCCATTTTTAAATGCTTTGTACAAATGAAGTTTGGAAATTCTAATATTTTTCCCTTTTCCTCAATTTTAATATATATGTTCTCCTTCATGAGCTCAAAACTTGCAAGTCTATGTATTTTTATGATGTATTTTTTCAGTGATATATTTTTTTGTTGTTTTATGTCATCAGAAATCATTAGATATTTCCCTCAGTCATTCTAATAGAATATTTATTCACCAAATTAAGCAGCACAGATACAAGTACTGAATGGTTGACTTAAGGTGAAGCTTTGCATACTATTCTTAGTTCATAAGTATGTGATGCATTGACGATTAGTTGAATTATTGTGCTAACATTATAGTTTATTTGTTATGAAAACCAGCTGAGATCTACTTTGTGGTATTAAAAAAAAAAAAGCTGGAAATTCACATGTGTGAAAAGATAGCCAAGGCAAAGACTTGTTTTTGATGGCTGCATGCTTGTTTACTATTCAGTCTGGGCTTAATGTTGAATCAATGAGTTTATTTTCAAAGCAATTATTATGTCATGCTAGGTAAATCATAGACCATACAGCCAATTCTAAAAATGTGACTACTTCTTAGTTCTCCATTGAAAGGGAAATTACAATGCCATTTAGTGGTATAAGACTAGGGAGCACTTCATTGCTTCATTTGTATCATCCAATGGTATTTAGCCCTTTTCAGAAAAGGGGGATGTTTACTAGGCATTATAATATTAAACTAATTTAGTTAGTTTAACCTAAATTTAAATTTAAACTTAAAATTAAACACATAACTGCTTAAGTCAATTAATAGAACTGAACTAAGTTTGTTTGGGGGGGATTCATGAACCCAACATATGTTATAATATTTTTCAATAATTTTGTCAATAAACACAAACAACTTGAAATTCCAGGTTACTAGGTAAGATAATTAAGTCAACTCAACAGAATGAAGAATCTCTACAGGAACAATAAATATTACTATAAGTTTTGGCCCCAGGGTATTTACTAGGATCACCAAATACCCTCCGCATTTACAAATTCTTCCTGTGCCAGCAGACCTGGTAACCTAACCCCCAGAGACCAAAAGAATTGAAATGGACTTATGTTTTTTCAACTGTTCGCATTTTTTCTGAAATTTGAGTGAAGTATCAGCTGCGCACACTGACAGTTTCTCCTTCTGTTGAGGGAAGATGTTCTTGAATATGTTCTGGTGAGTTCCTTTAGGTTTTATGAAAATGTAGATTACAAAAATAATAAAAATCCAATAAACTACTTATTTAAAATGGGCACGATAACAAATTATTGCAATTTCACTTGTAAAATATGAAATACTATGCATTATTTTAATGGAAATTAGGTATCTAGAAGAGGACATGGTAAACTCTTTCCATTACAGAATCATTTCATGGAGTGTAATTCCTCTCTTCTGGAAATACTTTCTTTAAATTTTAATTCTAATTCAGCATTAATTTTCCTTGGATTCATATTATTTATCAATACTTATAGTAGTGAATTAAAAGATACTTGAAATGTTATCTACAGCACAAATCACAGCTAAGTTGTTGAGGTACAGTAAGAACATTTGTCAATTGAGAATGGATCAAATATTTTATTGAAAGCAATGTAATCCACATTTTCCAATTTTATA